TAACCTTAACAAAAAAATAATCAACAAATATATTGATACTTTAAAAACAGCAATTGAAGAACTAGCAACCATTTATTACAAACTAGGTAGCTACACATCAATCATAGTTTACACAGATAGATCAATGGATACTTAACACAAAATAGGTTTCAGGTGGCATATACCACAACTTTAAAACATTAACTTTCAGGAAACCATCTGCAATTTTCCTTTATTAACAAGAGCAGAAATAGCAGTGATAGCAACCTTTCTCACCACAGCTTCAGCAAGCAGCAAAATCATAATCTGAAGTGATAGTCAAGCAGCCATCAGTGCAATCAACAAAGCCCTAAACAACTATTTGGCACTAAAAACACTCAAAAACAACAATCTGGTTAATACAATCATCCACATTATCAAACAACAAAAACTCAAGGTGATATGGAAGAAGGTAAAAGCATACAATAATGACCCAGGGAATGACAAAACAGATAAACTGGCAAAAAATACCACTACCATATACTTAATGCTAAAAATAAACATCAAGCCAATCCTAAATAATCAAATAAAGTGGATACAAAAATTTTACAGACAAATACTAGATACCATAATAACAGAAACAATCAAGACCATCACTTACACTAAATACATTTTAAGTTAAAGAATGTTAGACTGAAATATCATAACAACAAATAACCATATAAAAGACTATATCACATGGGAAGATTTAATAAACAATAGACACCTATCAAAAATCACAACAGGCACCACAGGCCATGCAGATCATAGTACCAAATTGTTCAAGATTAAACTATAGAACCTAGAATTATCTACAAAAGATAAACTATACTTAAGATAATCAAAAACATATAACAATAACTAAAGATGGGTCCCTAAATTATTTGTGAGGCCATAATTAAAATGTCCCTTATTATTAAAAATTTTCATTTCTATATTATGAAATAAAAAAAACTACCTACAAAGGTTCTTTATAGTTTTAAGCATCTATACAAATCATTTCTGAAATTATGTTTCTATTGGAATAAAAAGCTAGGAATTATGTCCTTTAGGGGATGTAAACATAAAAGAATGTAAATTTTATATATTAAATACTTTAAGGGCCCATCTTTAACAATAACCAATGCACTCAATGCCAACAAACAGAAACCAACATGCATGTAATAATCTGTGATTAACCAGATAAAAAAATCTTTAATAGACTTAAACAAATAATCAATGAAGAAATAAGTAGTAGAACACAGAAAAAAAAGGTCACAAACTAAACCAAAAAATTAATAAGGAACAAAAATATGGATACAAAAAATTAAAAACTATATTGCAAGAAGAGTGCTCACAAGCAAAACAATCAATACCATTAAAAAATATATACAATCAAACAATTTTAAAGAAACACTCAATAGTATCTATAAATGCTTTCTCTGGGAACTTCAAAATAGATGGAACATCAGATATATCAAATTTGCTAAATGGAAAAAGAAAAACAATATAAGAAAATAAGACAAAAAGATATAGGATACAAACAAGAAAATTTAAAACAAATAAAACATACTTACATGGAATAATAGCAATCCTTAAACATGCTATACAACACCAGATCAATTGGAACACAATATACATTCACGAAATCAATTTTTTAGGAACAGGTAGAGCCTTGACAGATTAGCTAAGTATATACTAGTACTTGGCAATAAGCTATACAATAGGACACAATCCTTAATGAGTTTAATTAGATAGACAGAAAAGTAAATTTGTATATAAATAAATTTATATATACTCATCTTACAAAATCTAATAAACAAGGTATAAGCCATCCAGTTAAAAAATATATACAGTATATATATAATTTGTATGTAAAAAACTATTTATATTAATAAACTAAAGTCGAAAAAAAAAAATAAATAAAACTTAAAATTTAATATTAATTCGAGTAAATCAATTATAATTAAGTTAATTTGATATATTAAATTTTTTTTAAAGTAGGTAATCATCATTTCTTTATTTTTTTTATTTTTTTATTTTTTTTTTTAAGGTGAACGTATATTGATACGAATCTTTATTGATAATTACTATTGAGATATGATATCAAGTGTCTTTTACATATAGTTCAATTTTTAATTATATTACTATGTCTTCTATATATAGAATTAACACTGCCTATTGACTATTTCTAGTAACAGCTTACATATCCACCTTAATTACCCAACTATACAAACTTACACCAAGGAGATGTATCCACACATCAGGTGGGATTAATCCAGGGGATGGAAATTCTGCCACCAGTTTAAACCATCTAAACCTATTAATCCAGTGAGGCGGAAAGCTTGTATACCTTACAGGGATGATTAGAACACCTGGATATCCTGAATACTTTTCGCCTGGTTCCTTAGAGAAGATATTATACTCCTTGTCACCACCTGCGGCTTCAGATTTTCTTTTTAGGGTCCTCTTCTTTTAAGCAAGCGCCAGATTGGGATAGCTCCAAGCTAAAGTGTTCTTTGTGCTACGAAGTCTGCCATGCCAGGGAGGGTTGTGGACTTTTACCGGAGTTAGACCAGAAACCTTTCCTCATACAACCTTTCCTGCTTTGACATGTTTTCAGCCCGTAATTGTTAGAAAGACCAGAGGTCCCATTTATATGCAGCCTAACTAAATTTGGATAAGATCTGGATGTTTGGGTACGACATTTGTAAGAAAACCGGTAAACTCACAAATGAAGGATAATTTTTTTTATATATTTGTCCCCTGTAGGTATTGAACTAGGAACATGCGTTTGGCAACCTGGAAGCACTACCCACTGTGCTATGGACCCACAGGTCTCAATCATTATTTCTTTATTTATTTGTATATAGCATGATATACATTATGAAAAGAAACAACATCTCTCATGTACAATATGCAGTAAGATAAATGCTAACTTGCCTACAGTAATCATTCAACTTCTACTAGAAAAGAAATTTTAAACTAGTATACTAATTAAATAATGCCGAGCAGCTATAAATATCTACTCAGAGTTTGAAAGGATATCATTATAATAGTTAGAAATAAAATTGTTTATACATTTTGCATAGTTAAAATTACTTTGGATAAATATTTCAGTAACGAGAGTTGGAATGCCAATTGTGACATAGTTGTGGGCCAAGATGTTATTATTGGAGGAGGGAATGGTTTTTTTGATTTCTTTATTGATAGTGTTATTATTGTTATGGGTATTAGGATTATTGTCATTGTTATTGTTGTTGATACTGTTATTGTTGTTATTGCTCTTCTTCTTTTTAAGATTTGGATCCTATTTAATATCAGTGGAAGGTGCAATATTAGCCATACTATATCGGAGTTTCCAGATGGAATTATAGATTAATGTAAGGGCTTTGGTGGATACTTGGATTCAGTTGTGAATGTCAGCTATAGAAAAAATACCAATTGTAATTTCACAAGCAAGTTCTACTACCTGCTGTATGTTTGATATAGGTTTATTACTATGGTTGGAATGAAAGATAGAGTTTATGGAACTTATTATTTGTTTCACTTCCTTTTTTGTTGAGGGACAGTTGAAGATGTGGAAGATACTTTCTATCTGGAAACTGCATCTGGGACAGTATGGATCTTTATAATGCTCAGGATATAAATGATGAAGGAATTTTCGTATCAGAAGTGTGTGGAAAACAGTTTGACTCTGAAGGCAATAAGGTTGCTGTAGGTGTTATTGTGAAGTCCTTTTATAAGTCTGTTGAAGAAGTTAATTATTTTGAGGCCAAAGGTATCATGGAATTGGCCAAATGTTTTAATTACCGATGAGCTTTCACATATAATATAGGATCTGGTAATGCTGAAGATTTTTTTGCACCATCTTGAGCAGCTACCCAAATCTGCTTTTTTAATGATAGGATTTTTCATGAAATGGAGAGTTGGATTGTCCCATATAATGGAGTTAATGTATCTTGGCTTGGTCTTAAGTTTGGTGTATTCGATGAATATATTTTTTTGTGTTGTGATGTGTTCAATTTTTGAGATAAGAGTGGCGAAATTGATTTTTACATGTTTTCTGGAAAAGATGGGAGGTGTTTGAATGATTTTTTATTGCTCCTAATCTCTATTGTGGAGTGTGAGGGATACTATTGAATAATGTCATAAATGATTCATAGGATGTTGCCGGTAGGAAGATCCAGGTTGGATATTGTGATCTTGGTATTATTAACAATTATGTCTTGTTTCAAAAGTTAAATATGATAAAGATTGTATTGGCCTATTGACTGCAAAGGAGGTTGAGTAGAAATGAGCAATGTGATTTTGATTGCTTGAAGATTGATTTCATCTATTGATGAAGAGTTTGCCAACTCTTTGATAATATTACAGAGGTAATATTTGGAGTTAGCTGTTATTTTGTTAATCGTTCACAATAAGAAGGCGTTGGTATTTGAAAAGGTTATTGAACAAGAATTGTTAAGAGGGAGGCCTAGGGAACATCCAGGACATTTGATAAGGTTGTTATTGGAGTCAATTGTGTGATGATTTCCTTTGAGGGGTGTATTTTCTTGAATACGACGATATTTTTTGTGGGTTTTGATGATAGAGTTTGTGGTGTATAAGAACCAGAATGTTGGTTTTGGATTTGGTATTGGTCTTTGAAATCCAATTAGGTTGTGGTTGTTTTGAAGTATTTAAACCATATTGGTTCAGAGCCACAGCATATGATACCTGTATGTGAGATAAGTTGTGACCAAGTAAGTTTGATTGGGCTATTAAATTGTAGAAGTTGGTTGGAAAATTTGATATTAAGGGTATTGGCTGTATTAATTGCTGTTTCTCTAAGTTGAGATGATAGATTTTTGAAAATTAGGCCAATTGAATTATAAACATTTTCTAATTGAATTTGGCAGCTAATTTCAACTCCAATGATGAAGCATAACCAGAGATTCTAGGTCCTATAATGTATCCTTTCCAATTGGAAGAAACATCAGTGGTGACCAAAGAGAATCTAAAGAAAACTAAAGAGAAAAGGGATGAGTCAAAAGATCGATATAGGTCAATAAGAAAACTGATAGTGAAAGAACAAAATGTTGCGGTGATGAAAGAACCACTGATGATACACAAGAACCGGCAAAAGATTAATGAGAAGGAAGAGGATGGATCAGAAGGACAAGATGAGACTATAAAAACGATTGCAGGAGAACTAGACATTGTGCAAAAGGAAGAACTGTCGACGTCATAATAAAGATGAGAAAGGAATAATCAGGAAAGAAATAATACTTATAATCACTTGGGAAACACAAAGGCCAAGAGACAAAACTCCTAGATTCCATAGTATTCTTGAGTCATGGCAGCAACTAATGGAAATATTTGTTCGAAGACTTAAAAGAAAGTTCGTAAAAACCTACTTTGATATCTTCGTAAAAATAGCATTTCATACAATAATGACAATGTATAGGATGGTTTGGATAAAGGGTCCAGTAAAAGAACTTCTGATCGAGTATGAAAATATGATCAAGAGTACTGACCAGAAACCTGAATGCGACATAGTACAATTTAAGAATAATGCCTCAATAAAGCGAATGCTGCACAAGAATGGTCAGGATGTGAAAGAATGGATTGATAAGGGAGAAATAATGTCAGTAATTATTTAGAAAACGCATGCATCGGGCGATAAGACATTCTGGTTGTGCAGTATCACAGCATTATAGTAGTAACTGATAAACACATTTAGCTACGAATTGAGAAGAAAGCTTAAGAAGACATACTTTAAGGTCATTGCAAAATCAACATGTCGTGCAATGATGATAGTTTATAAGGCAGTTTGGATAAAGGGTCCAGTAAAAGAACTCCTCATTAATATGATTGGAAGTACCACCCTGAAATCTGAGTATACAAAAATGATGCAATATACCCTCAACAGCAATAGCGACATCCTGAATATAAAACAATGGCAATAACAATCAAGATGAAACAAACATATGCCCTGACAACCATTAGATACTACAACTCACCTGTAACATGCCAACAGCTGACGATTCAATACCGATGCAAGATCGCAGAAAGATTGATGACACAGAGACTAAACACCATTGGAATAAGGTTAAAAGTGAATGCAATGGTCCTAGCCAATAGTATCACATGTATAGCTACTAATGCCACTAGGACTGGATGAATTAAAATAAATATAGAGTTGCCAGACACACAAAGTGATATACTATAAATATGCTCCGAGGCCCTGAGGTATTCTGTGATGTATAGAAAAACTCTAGAAAAACAATCGAAACTGCAAAGTAGTGACTAGCATTGCATGAAGGCTAGTATTAACGAAAGCAATGGGTAACGACATAGGCCATAAGGCATTGAACATGGAGCTATAGATGGGACGGTATGCTAGTCTAATAGTAACAATTGCATCAAAGATATAGGGGTGAGCGAACAAACAATTCATTATAATCGAATGAATTGCGATATATCATATAATGAAGCACAAAAAGGCAGAGAACGCAATACTGAATCAAGATCAACTAGTATATAACAACCAAATGATTGCACTATTAATCTAACTGGCACTATTTAACTATCCAATGCTCCATCATCCCAAGTAACAGCAAGCAACTATTATATAGTGATTGGAGCAGATAACCTAATATCCCATCCAATCAACAAAAAATATAGTAAGGACCAGTAGTTTAGTATGATTATATGCACAGGGGTGTATAAAAATAAGCGTAGGAAAGTGTTAGCAGGGAAAAATGTGTAGGTCGATTCAGTTTGCTGATAATTACGTGACTAGATGCGAAGCAGCAGATAATAAATAGAAAAGTATAACCAGCCGAAAGCTTAATTTGCATGACGCAATGATAGATTAGCAGACACATCGCAATGAATATAAATATAGGTAAAATTAGTTAGTTAACAGCAGGAATGAAAAAGCTCACTTATTAAATAAAATACTATCTGTACTTATATAATATTAATAAACTTGTAAGACCTGTGGGTCCATAGCACAGTGGTTAGTACTTCACAGGTCAGATCACAAGATACCAGTTCAATCCCATGTGAAGGCGAATGAATAGATTAATATGATATCTGGCACTATGACCAATTATGTGCCGTTTCCCATAAGAAGCTGTTTCACATGCTGGTTCAGCAGGCGTTGGGATTGTGATCTTCCCATTAAGGTGTAGTGGTGTGATGATTGTCCGGATGGTGTTACGATGATCATCTACGAAAGGAGCCATAGAAACACCTATTTATTTGGATGTACAGACTGGGCTGTACTCCATCTTAACCAATTCCAAGCCACCAAGTTCCCTCATTAACTACCAAGTAAGGATATCTTGAAGAAGACCACTGAACCGACACATGACCATGTGCAGATATGGCAGCCATGTGGTGAGACAGAGCATGTAGGAGTTGCGCCCTGCTTGGCATTTATGCCCCTAG